CCCCTCCTCGCCCCGATGGAAGCCTCTGGGGGGCCGCGGGAGGGCCAGGCCCCCGCGCCCCCCTGGCTGACTCCCAGGCACGACACCCGACAGCGGCACACGCAGGCGTCCCCCTGCTCACTGTTCATTCAAGTATTTATTGAGCACCTACTGCGTGCCCGGTCCTGGCTCTGCTGTAGGCGTAGGGGGTGGCCGCAGAGGACAGAGTCGACAGGCAAGCCTGCCCTCGTGGAGGGGCCGGTCTCAGGAGAGGGAACCCCCACAGCCATACAGAGACTTGGGATTCTGGGCAGGACCTCTGACCCCTCCCCATAGGGGGACGGCCCCCTGGCTCAGCCGACAGATAGCCAAGCCCCCTTTTGTGACACTTCTCTGCCCAGCCAGGCTAGGACTCACCCCCCATCACATCCTCAGGTCTTGGGACTACTGGGGGCTCAGAGGGACGACAACCTCCTACTGAAGCGGACCCTTTTAGGCCCCTCTGCCCTCGGGAAAGCCCCCACATTCCTGCCACACCTATTTTTTTAAAAAAACAATTTGCTTTTTGGTAGAGACAGATCTCGCTTTGCTGCCCAGGCTGGCCTCGAACTCCTGGGCTCAAGCCATCCCCCTTGACTTGGCCTCCCAAAGCGCTGGGGTGACAGGCTTGAGCCACCGGGTCCGGCCTTTTTTAATTCCCACACCCATTTTTTGATAAGGATCCTGCAAAGAGCAGAAAAGCCCCTTCTTCCATCCTTGGGGAGGTGTCTCCGTCCCCACCCACCGGCCCGCCCCGAAAGGCCCGGCCCGCCCCTGCTCCCCTACCCTGGTGGTCAGAGCGTAGACCGGCGGCACAGCCCGCTCAGTCCGTATTTAAGCCGAGCCCCCACCGGAGAGAAACGCCCAGGGGCTCTGCCTCACCTTTTCAGGGATGCTTGGGGGGAGGGGGGGTTCTTGGTGCTACAGCCCCCCCTTCCCTACAGGAGCCCCCACGCCTTCTCCCGCCCTCACTACATTTCAGTGCTTGACCCTGCAGGGGACCCCATCGAAAACGGGGGGGGGTAGGGAGAGCAAGCCAGGTGAGGAGACGCCCCCTCCAGGCTGCCCGCCGGGATTCCCACGCCCCCATCGGCTCCCCACCCCACACCTGGGGGGGGGGGCCTGTGAATGGATGAATGTCCCCCAAGAGCGAATAAAGCCGAGGCTTCTTCCTGCGTCGCGGTGAGGCTGTCTGGGGACAGGGATCGCCCCCTCCCCGGGAAGGACCAGGGGCGAGGGGAGGTCCCCCGCGAGCGCCCCTGGGCGGGGTGGAGCCCGTGACTCAGTGCGGCGGGGCCCAGTGACTCAGGCCTGGGCTGGGGGCCAGACCG